AAGGGCTATGTGATGGGTGAGTGAGGGAGTTATGCATGTGCACGTGTCACACCAATCACAGTGTGGGTTTTATCAAAGAACGAATCAAAGAAAAAAAAAGATGGTATCTACATTAATCTGGAGATGTGTCGAGTTACTGTAGTTTGTTCAAACATTTTATGGCTTACTATTTAGCTATCTTACCATTACCGATGTAACATCGTATGTACATCATAAATTCCCAGTTTCATTCTTGCTGTACATCGCAACCAAAAAAACTTGTCAAATTTACCAAATCATTGCTGTAAACAGCTCCATGAATGCTCCTATCTCCGGCGCTTCACAAAAAAAAAAGAAACTCTTGCACACCTTGCGTGCCTATGTTTTTTTTTTTTGTGCAGTTGTGAACAAAATTTCAGTTGTTCAATGTTGGCAGTTCTTTCACATTGTGTTTAGATTTACAATGGAAAGGTCACCACTATCATGCAGTTTGGCTGTTTTGTACAATTGGAGGGCCTACGAGGACGACATGAAGGCTTGGTGCATGTTTCACAGGTAAAGTTTTAGATTGTCATTACCTGTAACATGAATTTATGCAATGAATGAAAAACATGGGGAAAGTTAGGATAGAGTGTGGTTTAAATTGCAAGTTTGACTTGTTATGCTCTATGTATACTTGGAGGTTAATCTTTTTCTTTATTTGTAAAGCTGCGACGTGAAGGTCGAGTGGCTAACGTAAGCGATGTGGCTCACAGAGGTCAAAAGGTTATGGTCAAAGTTCTCTCCATGGCTGGCAACAAGATCAGTTTGAGTATGAAGGTACGAGTTCTAATTCTGAACGTACTTGATACAGTTTAACAGAGTGCTTAGGTATTGATCGAACCAAACTTTCATAGGATGTAGATCAGGAGACTGGAGAAGATTTGAATCCTACCAGATCTAGACAGCATCCTGAAGGTGAGATCAGCGAGATGGCGAGGAATCCAGACAGGTACTGCGGCATACTACTAACAAAATAGTGAAAAATAAGTCTCTCCAGGTTAGGACGAATGTTTAGGAGAAATCAAAGTATTTGTTTAAACCTTAGATTTACGCAGTTGTTCCAATTCTCTCACACTTTCTGTTGTGTTTGTTCACCATTTTCAATTTCTTAAAACGATTATTATAGATTATAAAATGATTATTTCACAGATAATCATAATACATCAAAGTGCACTATGAGCAGATTCGTGAATTTCGTAGTGAATGATGATGATTGATGTGAGCTAACCTTTGCGTAATATGGAATTACTCTTAAAATAAAAAAATACTTATGTTTTAAAGAGGATAAATTACAATAAACAACGACCAAAGCTCCTTTAACTGAGCATAATGGATCTGACAGTAAACTCTCACAAAGATATTTTCTGCCTGCAGCAGAAAGTTTATTTCACACAGTGCTGACAGATTTAAGCCAACCTTGTCATGAATTGACTTGAACCTTTCGCAGCTTCTACGTCACCATTGTGTGACCTACGCCTGAACGATTGAGATTACAACTTTCCCCGACCAACAAAGGAACCGGCCGAAAATTATAACAGGCAATTAATCTGAGTTATTTGTTACAAGCTGCCATTAACGCTTTCCCTGATCAACAAATTACCAGAAGTTTAAACAACCATTTAATATGAGTTACCTGAACTAACAGTTCCATTTTTAGCGCAACACTCCCAGTTACGTAACAAGTTGTACTGGAGATGTCAAACAATGTATGCGCCCGCAAAGCAGCGGAATTGCGAAACAATTTAAGAGATGATCGATCAACTTCTAATTTGCACAATCTGATATCCCAGTACAAACCGTGTCTTGCTTACGCAACTCACGAGTTACAAATACATATTAGTTATGCCACGCTTATGCCATACCATAGAAAATACATTGGCTAACACAATTAATGTGATACATTCGCAAACTTCATTTTGAGTGGCTTTGAACTGGCTTCCTATTGTTGATGATCTCCATGCTCAGTTAGCAGTGTTTTTTTTTTGGTTGAAATCTTTATTTTCTGCTGCGCTTTCGATCTCAAAATTAAAGCGGAAGGAGAAATTTGGCAATGACATGGCTCAAACAATGCTTGAAAGAGACTGGAAATGGCGCCGCTCGCTCGCCGCTTGCCAGAGTAAGATCTCAGCGTACGATGGGAAGGTTGGGTGTATTACCGTCGAATATGCAACGGCTTTACTACATTCTGATTGGCTGTATTTTCTATGGCATGATATAAAATACAAGATACAACTCACAACTAACGTGCTCCCTGTGGCTTCACGCCCAGTCAGTATACTGACTGAACCCGTCAATTTGAATATCTTGTCATGTGATTATCTTTCAGAACATTTGTTTAGAATGCATTTAGCTAAAGGTATACGATTATTACTGCACACATTGTATTATTTGAATGCAAAACTGTCACAGTTTTTTCTTATCAGTACACTGTGTTCGTAGGCCTGCAGGAATCCCTGTGGTACCAGTATATGAAGAAGAT